AGTGGGTGTGGGCGTGGGAGGGGGGGGATATAGATTGGTACAGGCCAGAGTTCTGCTTTCATTAAACATAAACCACCATTATGGAAACATCGATGATGAAAGAACCACAAGAGACCTCGGAGTACATAACCAGATGAAAGTTTCTTTATTCGGTCACTTGAACTTATATACCGGCACAGACCTCCATCGTCACACACTGTACAAAGATCAGACACCGCGCAGGTTTGGTCGTCACTAAAAATCAAGTCAGGGGCCCCCTGGAAAACTAAAAATCAGTGACCTAGCAGAGGTACCATCTGACTTTTTTTGGGGGAAAAAAATAAAACCATGCACTCCATAGTCTACGACACGAGATTCAAGTTGACACGCAAAGCGGCTGAACTGCGATGGCTGCGGCGCCGTTAATAAAGTGATTTTTTATTTATTTTTTTGTTGTTTCTTTTAAAAAAAACAAGGAAAAAAAAAAAAAGATTTCTGAAACCAGAAAAGGACATAAAATCTCCGGACTTAGTGCGGAATGTTAAAAAAAAACAGTAACTGTCGGCGTCCGGCTGCGGTCCGACTCGATCAGCGTTTCCAGGGGGACAGGAGCGCTCAGACATGCGCTGGGCTAACACACAATGGATTTCTAAAGCACAACGTCAAATAAAAGAATCTCCCGCTATATAAAAATAAGTCTCGCACGAACGTAAAAGCGCGTCCGCCTCAAGATTGCAGCAACCGGAATGCCAAGAATCAAAAAATAAACAGACCAATGAGCTGACGCCAGAGGAAGGGGGGGGGAGGGTGGCGAAGGAGCGGCCATTTTGTTCAGCAAAAACTATACGAGGGACTCTGACTGGCGCCAGCGATTAGGAGTCGGGTACGTGGAGGCGCTCGGGCCTAGGATTTTCTATTGCATTAGAGAAGGGGTCGGCAAACTCCCAACACGCCAGCTGTGGTGAGACTACAAAACCCATCTGAGTCCTGCAGTGCCTCATGGGACTTGTAGTTGCAGCACAGCTAGAGGACCAGAGTTTGCCCACCTCCGGGTTAGAAGCTCGGTCACCACCGTGATGGAAGTGGTCACTCTCCAGCTCCGGAAATGTATAGTCACCATTTTGGAACTGGTCCTTTAGAACTGCCGCTTCCATCGGAGCCTTCACAACAGTCCCTTTAAATATGTCATTGACTTAAAGGCCGCCTCCTTTTCTAATCATCTTATAAGGCTCACCGAGTCGGGACTGGCACAGCAGGATTAGGCGAGTGTAGCAGTGCTCTTAAAGCACCCGTCCCACGTGACTTCTGAACCCACGGGCCGAGGACACAATGAGGAAGAAGCTGGGTGACAGGCTGCCGGGAAGATCAGAGATATGGAGGGGAGGGTGTTATAACTGACTGCGGTTTTCCAACTCATGACAGGTCCTCTTAAGAGCAACGATGAGACAACATCGGGAAATGCAACACACCCCTGTATACACGATACGGTGCCCACACACGCGGCTAGGACTGACGCAAAGCCCCAGATGGAATCGCTCTGCCAAAGACCCGGGCGCTAAACGCCAGCTAGCGGCTCCTCCTACACAATGCAACTGCACTCCAGGATAATACAAGTCACGGCAACTTTATTGTTCTGGACAAGCAAGCAAAGAGCCCACGTGTGGGACCTCCTCCGCTAACGCAGAGGGAAGTCCTTGCCCGTTTGTGCAAAAACAAAGCTGCCAGCGCTCAAAACTTTCCTGGAGCGCAGCCAGCTTTTCTTCTTCTCAGACTCACAAATTAAAGCGCGTGTGCAGGAAAAAGGAGAGAACAAAAAAAAAAAAAGTACAACAGAAAGCACAACAGCGGCTAAGCGCTTTCTATTTTAGGGCGGGTGGAGACCTGGGAGACCGCGCGGTCGTTCATAATTGCACACAGCGATTGCTGTGCAGCCCCCATTGATTTCAATGTGGTACAGCCACGCCGGCAATTGCATAAAAAAAAAGGTACATGTACCGGGATACATGATGCGCGGCTGGTTTAGTGTTCGGTTGCACGGGCGGAATCGCGGCGGGACCGTGGGTGCCATTAAAAAAAAGAATGTTCCTGAGCGTTATACAAAACAAGGCTTCCCGCTGCAGACGCACCATTCGAATGTGCATTTAAAAACGCAATGGTTTGAACGGGCCCATATGTAGGCCTCAGCCCGCGCGTGTACAGCAAGCATTTGTAACAAGCCTTTAAAGGAGACTTCATTCATGCCGTGCGGATGCTACACAGCCTAAGGAGAGGGCTGACTGTTTAAAGTGACAAACTTGTATGGCTGATGCCCGCTCACAGCTCGCTAAAGGGACCGTCAGCATTTTCACCGTGCTTAAATCTAATGTACAAATTCCTTTCTCCCCCCCCCTGAGCAACATGTAAATAAAGTCTTTCAAGCATCGGTTCATTTTAAAACTTGGACCCAGTGACATCATCACTTGGTCTCTTTCTGTTGGTCGGTGTGATGGGAGAGGCTGGCCGGCTCCTGTACAAATCACAACACCCCGCCCTGGGCGTTATATGAAAGAACACATCCCCGGCATCCCATTATACAGGCAGGCTCCTCCCTGCTGGCCAATGGCTGCTGCAGCCTAAAGCCGGCCATACACTGTTCTACCCGGCAGGCTGAAGGTAAAACAATAGATTCCTCCATCAACACTACGAGTGCGTTCGATGTGGCATCCCTGCTGCTTCCTTTGTAATCTGACAGCGGCCAGAGTTGGCAGCTCATTGGTTGCCAGCTTTGTGCCTATGAAGATCTTCCAACCGGCTCCTTTGATCAACTGACAGGCGGCTCCTCGAAAGGCGCCCACAGGCGGCTCCTCGAAAGGCGCCCACAGGCGGCTCCTCGAAAGGCGCCCACAGGTGGCTCCTCAAGAACAAGCTGAAACTGGTACAGTGTACGGCCACCTTTACACTAATGGAGTGTATTCAAGCAAATGATCAGCAGATTGTGCAACTAAAGCCTGCACCACCCAGGGGCCACACACATGTAAAAGGGATGCGGGTTTTGTGTCCTTTCATATAACGCTGGGGAACAGCAGTGCAGTGACTAACGCCAACCCTACAGATCACAGCCACATAGAATGAGGATTGATGGCAGAGGAAAGCCAATCGCTGTGAAGGGCAAAGACGGCATGGATCAGGAGGAGAGGGGAATGAGAATGATTGAAGTCAGACAGGTAATAAAAGTCAGGCTGCTGCAGCTTTAAAGGGTTATATTGTGGAGATGCAAGTTCGCAGGGAATTGAGAGGAATCAGTTTCAGCTCGGGGAAAGGACTTGCTACAAGTGTGGGCAACATAAAAGGTGAAGGCTGGAGTTCAGCTTTAACCTCCCCAAATTGGGGCTGAAGACTTCTTTAAAAGGCTCTACAAAGCTCGCTGTACACGCCGCTCATATACAAGCTGAAGCCGGTGCATGCCGGAGGCTTACAGGTCTACGCCGACCAGACGCTGCACGCGGCAGGGAGCCGAAAACAAAACAAAAAAACTTTCCGTCCAGCACCGTCCTTTAGTGTCGGAGGGCAGAGCTGCAAAAATCAGGAAAATAATACAAAGGGCACTGCCTTGTTTTTTACTTTTGACATTCCTTTACAAAAAAACAAAAACAAAAAACAGATTTGCTGATCGTTACGCCGTCAAGTTAAAATTCTTCTCTTCTTGTGGTTTGCTGATCCAGTTTCCGTAGCCCATCTCTTGTAAGGATCTGAAGAACAGTCCCTTCACCGTCTGGTAGGTGGTGGCCGCGGCCTTGATGTCGCTGTAGGAGGTGTACTCTTGGAGGTCTTGGCGGTTGTGCGACGAGCAAAGTTTTTGGTACAGGGCGAACATGTGGTGTTTGGAGACGCGGGAGACGTCGAGTTTTCCCCTGGGGAAAGGAGGCGGAGTCATTCACAGGAGTCCCAAATTCAGGCAAAGATCCATTCAGATGATACAAGACATTCAAACACTGACATCTAGAGGGGACTTCATAGAAGGCAACATGGGAGTCTGAAAGACCTTCTGAGTTCCCGGGTCTATACACCCGCTGTGCCCATTATGAGGGGCTCCCACCATCCCTGTGCTGAGTTCCCGGATCTGTACACCTGCTGTGCCCATTATGAGGGGCTCCCACCATCCCTGTGCTGAGTTCCCGGGTCTGTACACCCGCTGTGCTCATTATGAGGGGCTCCCACCATCCCTGTGCTGAGTTCCCGGGTCTGTACACCCGCTGTGCCCATTATGAGGGGCTCCCACCATCCCTGTGCTGAGTTCCCGGGTCTGTACACCTGCTGTGCCCATTATGAGGGGCTCCCACCATCCCTGTGCTGAGTTCCCGGGTCTGTACACCTGCTGTGCCCATTATGAGGGGCTCCCACCATCCCTGTGCTGAGTTCCCGGGTCTGTACACCTGCTGTGCCCATTATAAGGGGTTCCCACCATCCTTGTGCTGAGTTCCAGGGTCTGTACGCCTGCTGTGCCCATTATGAGGAGCTCCCACCATCCCTGTGCTGAGTTCCTGGGTCTGTACACCTGCTGTGCCCATTATGAGGGTCTCCCACCATCTCTGTGCTGAGTTCCCGGGTCTGTACACCTCCTGTGTCTGAGGGCAGATGTTCACATGCTGAACTTCTATATTAGATAGGCAACCTTGGCACTCCAGCTGTGATGAAACTACAGATCCCATGATGCCTCTGGTAGTCATGCATGTGGCTGTCAGTCTTGCACTGCCTGATGGGACTTGTAGTTCCACAACAGCTGTAGTGCTGAGGTTTCCCATCACTGATCTATATCTTAAGGTTCATTAACAAGCATTCCCTGTGCCATCAAGACAGTCGCAGGGAGAGCTGGTGTTCATGATTTATTCCTCACTTACCCACTCCCCCTTCCCCATCACTAACCCCTATCCGTCCCCCGATCCACATTTCCCCATCACTTACCCCTATCCCCCACGTGATCCCCATCACTTACCCCTATCCCCCACGTGATCCCCATCACTTACCCCTATCCCCCACGTGATCCCCATCACTTACCCCTATCCCCCACGTGATCCCCATCACTTACCCCTATCCCCCACGTGATCCCCATCACTTACCCCTATCCCCCACGTGATCCCCATCACTTACCCCTATCCCCCACGTGATCCCCATCACTTACCCCTATCCCCCACGTGATCCCCATCACTTACCCCTATCCCCCACGTGATCCCCATCACTTACCCCTATCCCCCACGTGATCCCCATCACTTACCCCTATCCCCCACGTGATCCCCATCACTTACCCCTATCCCCCACGTGATCCCCATCACTTACCCCTATCCCCCACGTGATCCCCATCACTTACCCCTATCCCCCACGTGATCCCCATCACTTACCCCTATCCCCCACGTGATCCCCATCACTTACCCCTATCCCCCACGTGATCCCCATCACTTACCCCTATCCCCCACGTGATCCCCATCACTTACCCCTATCCCCCACGTGATCCCCATCACTTACCCCTATCCCCCACGTGATCCCCATCACTTACCCCTATCCCCACATGATCCCCATCACTTACCCCTATCCCCCACGTGATCCCCATCACTTACCCCTCAATTTTCCCCTTTGTACCATCCAAAACTTCAACTTCTTCGTCAGCCAGACACCAGTTCACGCTGGACTCCTTCGTCTTCCCAGTCTGCCGGTGAGAGTCATATACGCTGACGCGACCGACCTGCAAGGACCAGAGGACGTTAAAACGGGGCAAAGACCCAACAGGGGAATGTAAAGAACCCTAACCCGATGAAACGACTGACCTCTGGATGGTTGACAATGTAGAGGTCCGGCAACTGTTGCTGAAAACCTTCCCCGTCCCGTGACATCCGGCAGCAGATCGCTCGAGTGAGGTGTCCCTTACTGAACAGGTAACCTGAAACACAGAATCAGAGGTTGGCGATGTGACGAAAGGGGCCGCATGACCCCGGAGGTGGTAGGAACGGACACAGAACAAAGCAGAGCTATTCCGCAAACCGACCAGAATACAGACAAAACACAATGGTACAGGAGTACTGATCTGCATGAGGGACAGTGCTGTGCGACCCAAGAGCAGCGATTTGTATAGCCAAGTCACAATGGGCAGGTCACGACTGCATGCCGTACAGATCCCACTGAGAGCGACTAAAACCTGTCCCGTCTATACCAAGAACTAGAGGTGCACCGAAATGGAAATGTTAAAACCGAAACTAAAAAATATTGTCAGGACCAAACCGAAAGGTTTTTTTTTTTTTATA